AATTATGTTTGAAATTATGAACATTGCTCAACATCATGAAAATTAAACCTTATTTTCAATAAGCAATCCTGAAAAATATTTGGGGGTGCTTAACTTTTTTCCAGGTGTATACATGAAATATGCAAGAGACTTGTCTGACTTAACACTGTGGTATGGAGATAACTGCACTTCTAATCTCTCCAATTCAAGTACTAGAAAAGTAATTAAAAACACAGAGGTCAGACAGTAATAGTACAAAACCTCAGTATGTTTTGTTTGTAAACAATATTATTTCACACACACATGATCCACTTTTTCACTTTATTGTCCATGTTCAGTTTGTTCTGTGTAAAACATTTATTTGAATCTGCTGTCAACTGCAAATCTTAATACTTGCTTATTGTGTATCAGTGAACCTAAACATAACCAAATTATGGTCTCTATTCAAGGCCTATAAAATTAACCTGGTGGTAAAGTGTTCCACATAAAAAAATTGTTTGTCATGACTACATCCAATAGGGCAGTGTTTTTTTGGATTTATAGAACTAAAAACTTGTAACAAATGTCTATTTCAGTAAGAAAACTCATCAGAAAATTGAAAAGGAAATATATACCTACTTGCCACTTGAGTGGTTCCCAATAAAACAACAGGGAAGCATATGGGTTTTCATTCTGAAAGTAATTAAAAATATTTTAAACTGGCTTAATCCACACAAAACAAAACCTTGTATACAAAATAACTGAGAATCCCTTAGTCTAACTTTACAAGATTTGGCATAATTATACAACTACAACACTAAGGCAAGCTTAAATTACTAATTTGGCTTTAAAAAATGCCAACCATCAAGCATTACCATTACTGATGCTTTAAAATTATTACCCAAAAAGCTCTCACAGAATTTTTAACAATCTTCTTTATGGTTCTCTAATGTGAAAAATAGCTACTTAAGATATCACAGTTAAGGATTTAAATCCTAAATTCCACCTAAATAATATATGTAAATAAGTTTATCCTAAGCAGTATACCTATCTTTTTTATAGTAATTGAAAGACTAGCTCAAAAGAAAAATTACACTCTTATTTTGACCTCTAAAATGTTCATTAAAAAAAAAACTTCCTTTGTATCCCATCATCTTTTAAATTTTTACTCAAGAAACAACATTCCTTAAGAAGAACTGACTCCCTATGCTGAAAACTTGGATCAGCCAGCAATGAATCTCTTTATATTGTCCATCTCATGGCAGCAGTTATGATAATCTTTTTTATTAATTAATAGAGGTAAAAGTTTTATTTGGCTGTTTCTCAGTTTATTTGTAATATTCATATAATTAATAAAAAATCATAAATCCAAATTCACATACACCACATCTTTTTTTTTACTTTCACTTGTAACTCACACCAACTTCTTTCGCTTCTTGTTTCTCAGCCACGGATCAATGGTTCATGGTATTATTTCAGGAAAACACCCAAAAGAGGGATACCTCAAATAAAGTAGGCATATGCACATGCTCTATTATACCAAAAAATTGTCATGTAAATTATTTAATGAGCTTATCTCATCGTATAAAGTTACTATGGAACTTCATTCAATTAGTGATACAGCTTAATGATTCTCTTTATTATAAGATCTTGGGAATAACAAACATTAGAGTATAGTTCTCTTTTTCTCTTAAATAAGAATATTACATCAAAACAAATCATCATAAATTGAAATCATTCATACTGTGGTGGTGAATTACAAACATCAAGGGTTACTCTTTCAAATAACGAACCCACAACCTGATAGTCTGAAAAGCAAGTCACTGATTCTCCAATCAACTGGCACTCCTAAATACTGATCAAGCAGTTAATATCAGCCATTATAATTAGGAAGTTATTGGTAGCATCTCAGCCAATTATCAAACCATCTTCATGAACAGCTAAACAAGTATTGCCATATTATTCCTCCTCATCAGCTGTAGGAAGACCATATAACAATGCTTTGTAATCAGAAGCAATATGCAGTTCCACCTCTGTTCCTGGAGTAAAGAGTTCCCAATAGGCAATTAATGATATAGAACTTAAGTTTATTGACATGTTCAATGTGCATCCATTGACCACTGTCAACAACTGCACTAACATATGAACCAAATAATATTCTTTGACCCTTTTAAATAATTGGTAAGGACCAACACTTACCAATTACTTTTCCAGTCTTAACAAAAGACCAGTTACATCCAGGGAAATTCTCTCAAGAGGAAAGCCTACAACTCTGCTAGTTTTCCATGATATAGCTAGTTTCTCCCCAGAGCAGTACATGTGGTAAAATGTATACATCATCACTCAAAGTTTACAAAAACAAAATTAGTTCCAAATGTAGGCAAAAGAATGTGATACATAATCCATAGTGCCCTTCAATTCTTCCACTGAGCAAACTCTAAATTATTCCCTGATTTAGAGTTCTGGGTACCACTAGCTACATCATAGGTTGGCTACAGCATCTTGATGGTTCATAAAAATTGTTCAATGTATCATTTTGCACTTTAATTGAACATACATATGCCAGTTGTTACCCATATCAGTACTATTTTTGCCAGTCTGAGAGGCTGCACTTTACCTTCCAGTTTATCAGCAGTGCCCAAGTCATGTCAAGGGTCCTTCAGTTGCTCTTCCTGAAGTTCCTTATTGGTTACTTGTGTATCAATCCAAACACAGATTTTTCTTTTTAACCACCTACATGATTTGCCATCATTACTGCTGCACTCATGTTACCGTATCCAATAATATATAATTGACCTTTAGTTTTTACAAAATGACCTCTCTTGGTGGTGTTTTAGTGGACTAGTATTTTGTAAAATACAGTCACTTTCAATTATTATACATTTTGAAGCAACTGGATATTTTTGAGGAAATTTTACAATTGCTTTAGGATTTTTCAGAATTTTGTTAATTTAAAAGAGTTTAAGAATAAAGTTTAAACAAGTCTTTAAGTTTAAGTAGACATGAACATATAAAAAAGAGGTGACAAGGAGATGCCTGTGTTGCAAAATAAGACTAGAAACTAGGAAACAAAGGTCAGGAGCCTAATTGCGTAAAAGTGTTGCCTAGAAATGAAATGAGTTAACAAGCGAAAGCGGTGCTTTGAGGTGATATTACTTACAGAAAATGGGTGTAGCAGTACAAGTAAATACATGACCGGCTAAAACAACCTCACTGTAACCAATTACTTGAGAGTTCTGGTTATAGTTTTGGATTAGCCTGGGGATTCCCCTAAAGCATCCAATAGGATCACAGGACTACTTGCGGGTGGTACTGTGTACTATTTAGATGGTTGAGATAATACCAAGAAGATTTGGTTTATAAATCCATGTCTGGGGCTGAAAAATCAATTCCTCCAGGATCCGGAAAGTTCTGAAATTCCGCTGAAAATTCTCAAAGCCATGAAGGTCTCCAACATCAGCAAATTCACCAGCCCAACTCTGTTGTAAATATAGTTAAAATTTCTCTCTTAATCAGTTACTGCAAGTACTCTATAAAATATTATGTTGAAATATATCCTTATGTTTTTTTTTGTTTTTTTTTCATTTCTCATAGTCCTTGCGGACCGTTGAGCCGATGGCAGATCTTGCTCTGCCATCGTTTCTAAAGCTGTTTCTTACGTCAAGGATGCAACCCACTTGACAGCCTTCCCTCTTTGAAAGGACGAGCATGTTTGGTGTGACGGGGATTCGAACCTGCGACCCTCAGATTGCGAGTCGAGCGCCTTAACCACCTGGCCTTATGTATTAATGGTGTTATGAGTATCAAAATGATTAACCAAGTATGAAAAGCATTTAATGTTTTACCTTTTGTTGAATGAAGGTTTGTTTTTATGGAATGTTAATTAAATGAGTAATAAATGTTAATATAATTGTTCACTGTTGGCCTGAGACTATTTCTTTATTCTAACTGTAAACTATCTTTAGTTAGCGACTTGTGGCTCCACTCATCACGACAAATCCCCTGAATAAATAAATTTGGTGTAGCGAGTATTTTTAATTGAAACTCCAACAATTAAGCCCACGACGGCACTACCCATTACAATTTATATGTATATACATTATTTCTATTTACAAATAAG